AGATGGCTGGTTTCGTCGCCAATCCTTCGGCAACCAGACTGATGCCCCGGCCCTTACCATTGGCTCTTGTCTAATGCAGAGGGATGAAGATAATCATCCACACGCCATTGCTTACTATAGCAGGAAACTTAGGCCTGCTGAAACAAGATACCCTGCTTTTGATCTTGAGGCTTTGAGTGTTGTAGAGGGTGTACGGGTCTTTGACTCTTACCTCTATGGAAGACCTTTCATAATCTATACAAACCATTGACCCCTGATTTATGTTTTTAGTAAGGAAACTAAATCTCCCAAAATGACCCGTTATGCCCATGATCTCTCCTTTTATAGCTTCAAAATAAAGTACAAAGAAGGCCCCACTAACCATGTTCCAGACCAACTGTCCTTCCAGATGAAGAGTCCCCAGTGCACTTAGCTGCATTAGCTATTACAGAGCTATCCCCCGAGTATATTGCCCAAAAGCAGCTGCAAGATCCCCAGCTTGCCGATCTCAGGCGGTACTTACTTCAGGGGACTGTACCAAAGAAAAAGTGGCCTCTCCCTTTAGACGAATTTGAGGTTAAAGACGGTGTCCTGCACAAATTAAAGCATCTTCCTGACAGAATTAGCTACCAGTTAGTAGTTGCTGACTCGTTAAAGAACTCGGCCTTGAAAGTTGCTCACCTACCACCTTTGGCTTCCCATTCAGGTGTTCAAAGGACGTATGAGAATGCCAAGGCTATGTTTTACTGGGCCAACATGCTTAAGGATTGCAAGGAATATGTTGCAAACTGCCCAGTATGCCAGCAGTCCCGAGGTAACCCCCAAAAGGTTCCCATGGCAGATGCTCCACTTGCCCAATATCTACTTGAGAGCGTGTCCATGGACATTATGGCCCTACTATACCAGTGCGGTATGGCCTGTCTATTTTGGATCAACATTCACGGTGGCTACAGATTGTCCCATTAAGGAAAGTTACTGCAGCCTCTGTCCACCGGGCCTTTGTCGATCACTGGGTGACTCTATTTGGTCCACCTCGTGTTATCCAGACAGACAATGGAGTACAATTTACCTGTGGCCTATTTAAGGAACTCGTTAAAATGATGCACGCTAGCCATCATTTCACCATTCGGTACCACCCTCAGGCGAATGGTTTGATTGAGAGAACTAATAGAGTTGTAAAGTCTGCCCTCACTACTCTTGTGAGTATGCGGCCCAGAATTTGGCACCAATTCATACCGGAACTGAGACTTCATATTAATACAGCCATTCATAGAAGTACCCATGAGCAACCACTCTACTTGCTCACAGGCCGACATGCTAATTTCCCTGTTGGCCTGACCAATGACGCGGTGTTTGCAGAGAATTTAAACTTAAAAGAGCGACTCGTCGAGGCACGCAAAGCTGCTGTTGCAGCCTCTAATCAATCCAGGGCTACGTACGATAGATATTATAATCGGGGTAAAAAGGAATACGGGTGCAACTGCCCCTCTCTCTGGCAGGTGGAGAGGCCCTGCAAGGGTCGTAACTCGTCTTGGCCCAGTCTCTTTTGAAATTAGGGACATACACACAGATGTCCAAATCAAAGTTCATTTAAATCACATAAAACCATTTAGAACCTCAAAAGAATTATCCTACGAGTCCGAGGATGAACTTGATGAACCCGATCACGACTTCCCCATGGAAGTTCCCGACCTTGAGAATAGGGCGAATATCCATCCCTGTAATGGTGCTGAGACTTGTGTAGACAGAACTGATGATATGCATGGCATTCGAGGGTTGTGAGGTCTCCGACCCTTCACCTTCCTTCCCCCCCCCCCCCCATCCTGGACTGTAACCCCTCTCCCCCCCCCCCCTTATCCTCCTCACCCTTGCTTCCCTTAGTCTCCCCTACCTCCCTTTTGCTGTAGTCTCCCCCTTTACCCTCTTCTCCAACCTTTTCTCCTTCTCTCTCTCTCTCTCTCTCTCTCCTAACACTTGTACCCTATTCGCTCTACCCTCTATCCTTCGTCTCTCCTAAATCTCTCAATCTAGTTTTCTTCTCTTCCCCGTTCCTTCGTTATACATTCTTATCCATCTCTCGTTTTCTTTCTCTCATTCGCTCCTTTTGTTCATCATTCTCTCTTCTCCTTTGCTATTTACGTTCTTCTGTATCTTTTTCTTTCCCCTTACTAAATCTTTCTAGCTTTCTACTTTTTCTATTCCTCCGTTTTTTTTATTTTCTTATGCATTTATTTTTATTTCTTAATGATTTCAACGCTTTTTATAATTCATTTTAAATACCGGGCCCCTCCCCTTTATTTTACTCTTAATTAAATTTTGCGTTATTTTTATTTTTCCTTTTAAAACTTGTTTAAGTTCTTAGTTTTATCATTAATTATTTTTATTAGTCTTAGATAACTGTTTTATGACTTTAGATTCATTCTTTTTATATGTTAATCCTGCCATGTCACCACCTTAATTACGGTTTTTATTTATTAATGGAGCCTCACAGGGGATACTCGGGATAGGGCATGTATCATTATTAAGTTTTACTGTGTTGTGAACTTTATTTTTTACTAATTCTGTGTCGTTTTATTAACTTTTCTTGTGTTTTTTAATCCTCCAAATGCTTCTTTTTACCAGTTTTTCACGTGGTTGCTTTACTTTTTATTGTTATTTATTGTTAATTAACCTTTGTTTTTCTTATTTAATGAAATGTTCTTGATAAATATAGTTCTGTTTAAATAACTGTTGCCACAGTGACGTGGCCAAGCTGTATATAAACCCTGTAAAATAAACCCGCGAGCGAGTTGTCTCTGGACTCTGGTGTCTGTGTGTACCCCTGGATTACCCTATACTGTGGCGTCGCTGGAGCAGCAAGATAAGGTTGTGTCTGAGCCGTTTTTACATGCCAGTTAGGACATTGATGACGTGGGCATTTATGATAAACCCAAGGTTTACGATTTTTTACATTGGCCAGCACCAGCCAGAGATACCCCTTTCAATTTTAAAGCTTATCCAACTTTTACGTATGCGTTCCTTCAGAACGAGCTTTGTATTCCTATTATATTTATATTTCTATTTACCCACGGTGCTTTGTTTTTTATTTTGTTTTACTCATTTAAGTCATGAACCACACAGCCAGGCCCATTTTCTAAGGGACGTGTACCTGGGGCATGGAACAGTGTCTCCTCAAGGGGGAAGTGAACGGGCCTCCTCTATCCTTCTTTCGGCCCTAAGCCGCCATCCTCCGATTGGGTGGATGAATTTTCGGGTTTCCCCTTGACAGAAAGCCTTACATATGTTATAGATTGTTATCTGTAGGTACTATAAGTGAGAGAAGATGCGTTTTAATTCGAAGTCCTAATTCTTAAATGGCTCCATGGTGCTCCAGAAGGTATCCCATGGCCCTTAGGTTGGGAACCCGTAGGCTAATGATTGATGTTATAGCTTTGGCCTCCTCTGATTGGCTAGAGACCTGATGTTATAGTTACTGATGCTCCTATGACTGGCTGTTGGTTTGACATCATCTTATCAAACAAAAACACTCAACTTTGGCTGACTCGTTTGCGAAAATTAGGATAAAACCACAGAAATACTTATTTACCAACTTACCGTTAATTGTGCGAACCCAAAATATAGAAGGTCCACTACCTACTCTTGTAGACGAGAAATAAAGCATAACCTTCAATTTAATTGTTTATATTTGCAGCTGAACTTATTCATTCTTGGGCTTGCCGGGAATTTTCTAAAGTTAAAATATATATGATAATTCAGATCATGGGCTTCACACACGGTCATGGCTACAGCAAACATACACCTTTCTTATTAACTTGCTCTTAAGTATGATATGAGTAATCTCATCAACAAATGAATTTAATCTGATAAAAACTTTTGACGATATTATCCCCTCCGCACATTAGACGGATCATTAGCACATGTGTAGAAGAAAAAGAAAAAGAGAAAAAGAAAAAAAGGGAAAAAAATGGGCTTTTTCTGCCCGAGTGAAAGAGGAAGAGAAATTTTACCTGCCAAAAAAATTGTGATGAATGCCACCAGTGGCGTAGATAGAGGGGGTCGGGGGGGGGGGTGTAGTGAGGCAGCCATACGTCTTTTTCCACGGGACTTTCAACCCTGTTTTCGCCTTAACCTGCGTCGCATCTTAAAGGAGCTACAAACCAGCAAACAACCCTTCGTCTTGGAAGACCATCGGCCGAGACTTCTACCTTCCCGCGCTAAATTTACGTAGTTGGCTGAGAGCTCGTGACCTGTACACACCATTCATAAGTATCTGGCTGTTGTTGTTTCTTATTTTTATTACTGATGCTCTTTTTTTTTCGTTTATATCATTTTGTTTAATTTAATAAATGTGTATTTTTTCTGTCCATTGAGTATCTATTCAATTCTTACACGCTACCTAAATTATAAGAATTGCTCGGCTTGAGGGCTGTGTAAAAGCTAACGCTTACATTGGTAGGCAGCTCGGGATATTTATGTACAATTCTATTTTGCAAATTATGTTGTGTATAACCGAAACCAGCCTTTGCGTTTATTAATGTTTATTTCAGATGTTTTTTCTGTGCTTTTCACATGTTAGGAAACGGATTTTAAGGAATTAAGATTTGCTTACTGCAAGTTTAGTCTGTTGATGAATTAATGTTTTTTCTTCGGATAATATAAATATCGTAGTAACGTAATATAAGGTGCATAAACCATTTTTGTGTATTATAAGTACGTAAACTTGATTTCTTGATCTTCGCTCTTTTGTACTTCATATTGCGGGTAATTTCATTTTATTCATATTCATCAGTCGCTACAGATGTCCTTAGCTGTATCGGCGTTTAAGCCCAGGGAATAATTGATTGTATACGTGATTTTATTTTGGAATGGATGTCTGGCCAGGAAGTGAGCTTTACTCAGCCCGGTAAATGTACATAGGACTGATCTATTTTTTTCTTTTCTCCAAATTCTCAGTGTACGCTATACCGCTGCCCTCACGAGTTTATACATTTTGTTTATTCTAATGACAGATCGTATTTCAGCCTGTCCTATATTTGTTGATGCTGATGCTTGCAGTTTTGCCTGTTCTTTGTGTTCGTGACATACAGCGAAGATTGTAAGAATTTGTCGCTGTGTGTAAGATAAACCATACCAACACTGAACACTGGTGAGTAAAGATTTATGATCATTATTTTTTGTAACAAATTTATATATATCGAGTAATTACCACAAATTACCAGTATTAATTTTTGGTTTGATTCTCTTTTAGAAAAGCACAGACGTGTTAGGCAAAGTATTAGGTATATTGTTAATTATTGAAGACTCCTTGGAATTGTGTAACTTAAAATGTTAAATGAATGTATTTTTTCTGATCTAACTTCCCCAAATCCACATTTAATAGCAGACCATGAGCAAGCTTATGCTCTTCCTCATGGATTAAGAGATCCTTCAGTTCGGCCAAAATCTAAAGCACCAGCTCATGCTGTTGGTCCATTAACTCCTCCCGATGATAACGAAGGAAATGTGAATCGACCTCAAGGAAATATACCTTCTACAGTACTTGAGAGTGTACTAAGTCAACAGAATAAAATTATCAAGGATAATCTTGTTCTCTCATCTAAACTAGATAAGATTGAAAGCATGTATGCAACACTTAGTAGCCAACTAGTGGTTTTGTTACAAGGTATGAATATTCAAACCTCTAGTAATGAACAATTGTCCGTGCCAGTTTCTTGCAATGATAGTGCAGCACGTGCAAATGCTAAGGTCTATGACGATAGACCTATACTTACACCATTATCTAAACCAGTCTTCGAACCAGAAACCCCAGTTAACCATAAACCTATACCAACACCTTGTACCCAGTTTCCTCAATCCTCGTGTCCTAATCCTTCCTCTGTGAAACCGACCCCTCTTGCAGCACCAAGGTCTAGTGTAACTTCCGGTATTAATGCGTATAATAATGGTAGTAACGTGATGCCGGTAAGTTTTAAAATTGCCAAGCAACAAATACCAATATTTGAAGCAAAATGTTCACTCAATGATCCCATGAAACGACAGGATGACTTTGAACAATGGATTCGTAAGATTGAAATTGTCATTCCAGAGGGACATGATGAAACCAGGATTAAAGTTGCAAAAATACATTGTCAAGGTCATGCTGAAACTATTGTTAATAGTGGTCAGTTTGCACAATTTACTACTTGGAATGAACTTAGACTGGCTTTAAGGGACAAATTTGGTAGTTCAGAGGATTTCTTTAGAAGGATAGAATCCATTAGACTTAAGCAAGGACAGTCGCCTAAAGATTTCCATATTGAACTTGCAGCAGCAGTTCTTTCGGGTGCAAGGGATTTTCCTAATGAAATTGGGGATGTAACACTAACTGTGAAATGACTTTTTCTTCAAGATTTACCAGAACGATTACGAGCCTTGGTTGTTTCAGGTGAAGATGGTCCTTTGACACAACTCGTCACGAATACAGAACGTATCTGGCACTACCAGAATAATGCATTTTATTTGAGGGAAAGAAGACTATTCTCGGGTGTGTCGTCTGTCAGTTCGAGTCTAGCAACTGCTAATAGTGAGCCGTACTGCGCTTTCCACCGCTCCAAAGGACACCTCACAAAAGATTGCAGAGGTAAGCCTCTGTCTAATGTTTGTTGGCTATGTTTACAGCCAGGTCATCTAAGATCTCGATGTCCTGGATTACAGCAGCCGCATAAAAAGGAACAATCTACATGTGTTCAGAATGCTGTGCCCTTTCAGAAAGGCCAGCAGTGTTAAAACTCCCTGTAATCTGTTGGCTAAATGCAAAAGGGAGATGGATTTATGTTTGGTGTCTGATAAGAATTTAGTGGGTCGACCTTTGATAAAAGTTTGTATCAATGGTCAGGAATTGCTTGCATTCATTGACACTGGATCTTCTGCATCCTTGTTGAAGGTCTCGGCATTGAAGTCTCTAAGCATTATTTCACGTTCCAAAGGAGCCAGGTCGCTTATTAGTGCTTCTGGTGACTTTCTTGATGTTTTGGAAGAAAGGGATTTTGAGATTTCTTTTGCCCCAGGACTTAGCCTGACACAGATTAGTTGTAGTTGATGAAAGTTGTGATTTTCCGGGTTCCTTATTAATTGGCATTGATGTACTGCGTAGATTTGAATTCAGCTTGGTTCATTCACATCAGCCAGGACAGACTTATCTTTCAATTGATTCAATTAGAGTGCCTGTAACCTATACAGATCATCCAGGAATTTCTAAAGTGTCCTTTTGCAAGGCAACAGTAAGAGATTGTGATCTTGATGTTCATGTTCAGTAAATCGTGGTATTCCTGATGGGGATGTATACATAGAGGGTCACTTGCATGATCTATCGATTCCTCATTCAGTTGCAAGTGTACAGAATAGGAAAGTTTATGTATGGACAGTTAATACTTTACCTCACAGAATTAAGCTCAAAAATGGAAAGCTACTAGCAAAAGTGGAAGAAGTTTCTAACACTGACCCAAGTAAAATAGCAATGATAGGTAGTGCATCTTCATGTAATTCTGAGGTAGTAACTGAAGCAAATCTTCCAGATTTAGAACATTTAATAAAAGAGCAAAGGAGTAAGGTCTTGCCTATTCTACAGAAGCACAAGGGTTTATTTGATGGTGATAAAATGACTATTGGTAAAGCCAAGGGTATTGTGCATTGCATACCTACGGGTGATGCAGCGCCTATTTGTTCTAAACAGTGGCGTCTTCTACAGTCAGCCAAAGACTTTATTAAGTCTGAGTGTCAGTCAATACTTAAAGCAGGAGTAATTGAACCATCAATGAGTCCATGGCTTAGCAATGTGGTTCTAGTAGTAAAAAAAAAATGGGTCTCATCGTTTCTGTGTTGACTACAGGCAGTTGAATAATGTTACCCTAGGAGATACATATCCACTTCCCAGGATAGAAGAAACTATTGACAGTCTCAGAGAAGCACGTTTCTTTTCTACTCTAGACTCTAGAGCAGCATACTGGATTATAGAGGTTAATGAGGCAGATCACCCTAAAACGGCATTTTCAGATGGACAGAACGTTTTTCAATGGATTCAAATGCCATTTGGTTTAAAGTCCGCTCCAAGCAGGTTTTAAATTAAACATGGCAAAATGTGAGATTGCTTGCCCAGAACTTAAATTCTTAGGATTCCTCATTTCTGCTGCAGGTGTACAGCCTGACCCTGGTAAGGCCATATGTGACCTTCCTACACCCACCAACTCACAGCAGGTAAGAAGGATTATGGGTGCTGCTGGATATTTCCGCAGGCATATCAAAGATCACTCTAAAATAACTGCTCCACTTTCTGATTTAACTAAGAAGAATGCCAAGTTTGTATGGAAGCCAGAACATGAAAGGGCTTTAGTTAGTTTAAACGTCCTAATTTTGACTTGCTGTTCGAAATCCACACAGATGCAAGTCAGCGAGCCACTGGTGCTTGTTTGATCCAAAAGCATGATGGACAGCCTCACCCAGTTTCTTCTTACAGTCGCAAACTTAGAGGTGCAGAGTTTCGTTATTCAGCGACTGAGTTGGAGGCTTTAGCTGTTGTTGAAGCTATTAAAGCATTTCATCCATATGTATATGGCCATAAATTTCATGTCTATACGGATCATAAGCCATTAATCTATATTTTTAAACGTCCAACTAAATCAGCTAGAATGACCCGCTGGAGTCATGAAATAATGAGTTATGATTGTATAGTCTTCTATAAAGAGGGAGCAAGTAAGCATGTATCAGATCTCTTATCAAGGCAGATTAGTCCAATAACATCTGTAGATCTGACCACCTTAGATCCTAAGGCATTTCGTGCATTGCAGGTTGAAGACTCTCTTTACAAAGAAATTATAGATTTTCTTGAAGGTCGATCATTCCCTAAGCGGAAATTACCTGCAAGATTGGACGAGTTTGACTTGATAGATGGAGTTCTATATCACGTCAAAGAAAAGGCTTCTGGTTTGGTAAGTCAGTTATGTATTCCTTTGAAATGCAGATTACATGCCCTGGACATTGCTCATAATAGTAAGATTGCTGGTCATCCTGGGACCTATCGTACATATAGAAAACTCCAGGAGTTGTATTATTTTCCTTGTGCACTTAGTCATACTAGAAATTATGTAAGTAAGTGTCTGACCTGTAAAAAGCGTAAAGCTCAACAAAGGCATAGAGCGACATTAGCAGATGCTCCACTCGCATTAAGCATCCTCGAGCGAGTCAGCATGGATCTCGTTGAATTGCCTAAGTCGGACAATGATTTCAAGTATGTCTTAGTCATTGTAGATCAGTTATCACGTTTTACTCAGCTTGTACCTCTTAAAGATAAACAAGCCGTAACTTTTACAAATACTTTGATTAATGATTTCATTACAATCTTTGGTCCACCACAAGCTTTCATTTGTGATAATGGCACTGAATTTTCTAATTCTCTTCTCAGAGCTGTTTGTAAGCTGCTGGAAACTAAGATAAACTTTACAACCCCTTATCATCCAGAAAGTAATGGGTTATGTGAAAGGACTAACAGAATAGTTAAAGATACTTTATATGCACTAACTGAGAAGAATCTTCGTCTATGGGACACGATGATACCTCATGTTAGGTTTGCTATCAACTCTTCAGTTAACAGGTCGGTAAATAACCAACCCTTATATTTGATGCTTGAACAATCTATACATTATCCAGTTGGATTAACAAACAAATTAACTGTAAATAAACCTGCTAATGAAAGATTTGCAAAGTCAATTCATGCACGTGATGCAGCTGTACTTGCAAGTAAACAATGTAGAAAATATAACAAAGATTACGTTGCAAGGAAGTCTATACCTGCTACTGATTTGGATGTTGGTAGTCTAATCTTAAGAAAAAGTCCTTCTCAGAAAGCCACTGGTCTGACGGCACGCTGGACAGGTCCCTTAAGGATCACAAAGCGCACTGGACCTGTGACTTATCTGGTGAAAGACTTGGTAAAGAACAGTGTTTATCGACTTCATCGTAATGATATGCTGTCCTACGAGGCACAAGACGAACTGGAGATAGTGAGTCCAGATGGTGTTCTTGCAGAACACTTTCCTGATGATCCGTTAAGTGTTATGATGTTATCTCTTGTGAGAAGATTTACTGGGTAATTTGTCCTTAAGTTTAATGTATTACATTGTAATGTTAAATATTCTTTAGGTGATTGGGTATATTGTTTGTATAATGTTAGAGAATCTTTATTAAATAAATCAACATTCCAGTGCTTGCATAGAACAGGTCTCTTATTTTTGTCCACATGAAAGCTCATGCCAACTCCCCAACAGATATCTGCATGGTCTGTTCCTGCCGCTGTCCTGATGAATTGTTCTGATCAATGAAACCAAGTGGATCTGATGCTGTTTGCTGCTGTCATCCCAGTGGATTGAATGTCATGACTTCTTGCAGCCCTGTTCCAGCCTTCGACCACCTTGTGGAGTCCCACGGCTTAGAATCCTGCCTTATCTCTGCCCTGATCTGTTCCTGCTTTCTCTCGTACACTGCCAAGATGCAAGCTCGCACGCTGATAATGGACCTCGGAACCTGAGTACCTGCAACCCTATGACCCACTGAATGTGACGCCCAAAGGATTTCGCACCAGATTCCAGCCTCATTTTGGTGAAAGGGTGTCGGCTTCCGCCTTGAGCCGATAGTCGAGGGTTCCCAAGTCACCCTCTCCTTTTCCGGGATCGGGAGGGATGTAGTGAGGCAACCATACGTCTTTTTCCACGGGACTTTCAACCCTATTTTCGCCTTAACCTGCGTCGCATCTTAAAGGAGCTACAAACCAGCAGAGTAATTGCTGAGCTTCTCGGGTTGTTGGCTGAGAGCTCGTGACCTGTACACACCATTCATAAGTATCTGGCTGTTGTTGTTTCTTATTTTTATTACTGATGCTCGTTTTTTTTCGTTTATATCATTTTTTTTAATTTAATAAATGTGTATTTTTTCTGTCCATTGAGTATTTATTCAATTCTTACATGCTACCTAAATTATAAGAATTGCTCGGCTTGAGGGCTGTGTAAAAGCCAACGCTTACATTGGTAGGCAGCTCGGGATATTTATGTACAATTCTATTTTGCAAATTATGTTGTGTATAACCGAAACCAGCCTTTGCGTTTATTAATGTTTATTTCAGATGTTTTTTCTGTGCTTTTCACATGTTAGGAAACGGATTTTAAGGAATTAAGATTTGCTTACTGCAAGTTTAGTCTGTTGATGAATTAATGTTTTTTCTTCGGATAATATAAATATCGTAGTAACGTAATATAAGGTGCATAAACCATTTTTGTGTATTATAAGTACGTAAACTTGATTTCTTGATCTTCGCTCTTTTGTACTTCATATTGCGGGTAATTTCATTTTATTCATATTCATCAGTCGCTACAGATGTCCTTAGCTGTATCGGCGTTTAAGCCCAGGGAATAATTGATTGTATACGTGATTTTATTTTGGAATGGATGTCTGGCCAGGAAGTGAGCTTTACTCAGCCCGGTAAATGTACATAGGACTGATCTATTTTTTTCTTTTCTCCAAATTCTCAGTGTACGCTATACCGCTGCCCTCACGAGTTTATACATTTTGTTTATTCTAATGACAGATCGTATTTCAGCCTGTCCTATACTTTGTTGATGCTGATGCTTGCAGTTTTTGCCTGTTCTTTGTGTGCGTGACATACCAGCGAAGATTGTAAGAATTTGTCGCTGTGTGTAAGATAAACCATACCAACACTGAAGACTGGTGAGTAAAGATTTATCATTATTTTTTGTAACAAATTTATATATATATCGAGTAATTACCACTAATTACCAGTATTCATTTTTGGTTTGATTCTCTTTTTAGAAAAGCACAGACGTGTTAGGCAAAGTATTAGGTATATTGTTAATTATTGAAGACTCCTTGGAATTGTGTAACTCGGAATGTTAAATGAATGTAATTTTTCTGATCTAACTTCCCCAAATCCACATTTAATAGCAGACCATGAGCAAGCTTATGCTCTTCCTCGTGGATTAAGAGATCCTTCAGTTAGACCAAAATCTAAAGCACCAGCTCATGCTGTTGGTCCATTAACTCCTCCCGATGATAACGAAGGAAATGTGAATCGGCCACAAGGAAATATTCCTTCTACAGTACTTGCGAGTGTACTAAGTCAACAGAATAAAATGATCAAGGATAATCTTGTTCTCTCATCTAAACTAGATAAGATTGAAAGCATGTATGCAACACTTAGTAGCCAACTAGTGGTTTTGTTACAAGGTATGAATATTCAAACTCTAGTAATGAACAATTGTCCGTGCCAGTTTCTTGCAATGATAGTGCAGCACGTGCAAATGCTAAGGTCTATGACGATAGACCTATACTTACACCATTATCTAAACCAGTCTTCGAACCAGAAACCCCAGTTAACCATAAACCTATACCAACACCTTGTACCCAGTTTCCTCAATCCTCGTGTCCTAATCCTTCCTCTGTGAAACCGACCCCTCTTGCAGCACCAAGGTCTAGTCTAACTTCCGGTATTAATGCGTATAATAATGGTAGTAACGTGATGCCGGTAAGTTTTAAAATTGCCAAGCAACAAATACCAATATTTGAAGCAAATGTCACTCAATGATCCCATGAAACGACAGGATGACTTTGAACAATGGATTCGTAAGATTGAAATTGTCATTCCAGAGGGACATGATGAAACCAGGATTAAGTTGCAAAAATACATTGTCAAGGTCATGCTGAAACTATTGTTAATAGTGGTCAGTTTGCACAATTTACTACTTGGAATGAATTTAGACTGGCTTTAAGGGACAAATTTGGTAGTGTAAGAAGTTCAGGGGATTTCTTTAGAAGGATAGAATCCATTAAACTTAAGCCAGGACAGTCGCCTAAAGACTTTCATATTGAACTTGAAGCAGCAGTTCTTTCGGGTGCAAGGGATTTTCCTAATGAAATTGGGGATGTAACACTAACTGTGAAAAGACTTTTTCTTCAAGGTTTACCAGAACGATTACGAGTCTTGGTTGTTTCAGGTGAAGATGGTCCTTTGACACAACTCGTCACGAATACAGAACGTATCTGGCACTGTCAGAATAATGCATTTTATTTGAGGGAAAGAAGACTATCTCGGGTGTGTCGTCTGTCAATTCGAGTCTAGCAACTGCTAATAATGAGCCGTACTGCGCTTTCCACCGCTCCAAAGGACATCTCACAAAGATTGCAGAGGTAAGCCTCTGTCTAATGTTTGTTGGCTATGTTTACAGCCAGGTCATCTAAGATCTCGATGTCCTGGATTACAGCAGCCGCATAAAAAGGAACAATCTACATGTGTTCAGAATGCTGTGCCCTTTCAGAAAGGCCAGCAGTGTTAAAACTCCTGTAATCTGTTGGCTAAATGCAAAAGGGAGACGGATTTATGTTTGGTGTCCTGATAAGAATTTAGTAGGTCGACCTTTGATAAAAGTTTGTATCAATGGTCAGGAATTGCTTGCATTCATTGACACTGGATCTTCTGCATCCTTGTTGAAGGTCTCGGCATTAAAGTCTCTAAGCATTATTTCACGTTCCAAAGGAGCCAGGTCACTTATTAGTGCTTCTGGTGACTTTCTTGATGTTTTGGAAGAAAGGGATTTTGAGATTTCTTTTGCTCCAGGACTTAGCCTGACACACAGATTAGTTGTAGTTGATGAAAGTTGTGATTTTCCGGGTTCCTTATTAATTGGCATTGATGTACTGCGTAGATTTGAATTCAGCTTGGTTCATTCACATCAGCCAGGACAGACTTATCTTTCTCTTGATTCATTTAGAGTCCCTGTAACCTATACAGATCATCCAGGAATTTCTAAAGTGTCCTTTTGCAAGGCAACAGTAAGAGATTGTGATCTTGATGTTCATGTTCAGTAAATCGTGGTATTCCTGATGGGGATGTATACATAGAGGGTCACTTGCATGATCTATCGATTCCTCATTCAGTTGCAAGTGTACAGAATAGGAAAGTTTATGTATGCACAGTTAATACTTTACCTCACAGAATTAAGCTCAAAAATGGAAAGCTACTAGCAAAAGTGGAAGAAGTTTCTAACACTGACCCAAGTAAAATAGCAATGATAGGTAGTGCATCTTCATGTAATTCTGAGGTAGTAACTGAAGCAAATCTTCCAGATTTAGAACATTTAATAAAAGAGCAAAGGAGTAAGGTCTTGCCTATTCTACAGAAGCACAAGGGTTTATTTGATGGTGATAAAATGACTATTGGTAAAGCCAAGGGTATTGTGCATTGCATACCTACGGGTGATGCAGCGCCTATTTGTTCTAAACAGTGGCGTCTTCTACAGTCAGCCAAAGACTTTATTAAGTCTGAGTGTCAGTCAATACTTAAAGCAGGAGTAATTGAACCATCAATGAGTCCATGGCTTAGCAATGTGGTTCTAGTAGTAAAAAAAAAATGGGTCTCATCGTTTCTGTGTTGACTACAGGCAGTTGAATAATGTTACCCTAGGAGATACATATCCACTTCCCAGGATAGAAGAAACTATTGACAGTCTCAGAGAAGCACGTTTCTTTTCTACTCTAGACTCTAGAGCAGCATACTGGATTATAGAGGTTAATGAGGCAGATCACCCTAAAACGGCATTTTCAGATGGACAGAACGTTTTTCAATGGATTCAAATGCCATTTGGTTTAAAGTCCGCTCCAAGCAGGTTTTAAATTAAACATGGCAAAATGTGAGATTGCTTGCCCAGAACTTAAATTCTTAGGATTCCTCATTTCTGCTGCAGGTGTACAGCCTGACCCTGGTAAGGCCATATGTGACCTTCCTACACCCACCAACTCACAGCAGGTAAGAAGGATTATGGGTGCTGCTGGATATTTCCGCAGGCATATCAAAGATCACTCTAAAATAACTGCTCCACTTTCTGATTTAACTAAGAAGAATGCCAAGTTTGTATGGAAGCCAGAACATGAAAGGGCTTTAGTTAGTTTAAACGTCCTAATTTTGACTTGCTGTTCGAAATCCACACAGATGCAAGTCAGCGAGCCACTGGTGCTTGTTTGATCCAAAAGCATGATGGACAGCCTCACCCAGTTTCTTCTTACAGTCGCAAACTTAGAGGTGCAGAGTTTCGTTATTCAGCGACTGAGTTGGAGGCTTTAGCTGTTGTTGAAGCTATTAAAGCATTTCATCCATATGTATATGGCCATAAATTTCATGTCTATACGGATCATAAGCCATTAATCTATATTTTAAACGTCCAACTAAATCAGCTAGAATGACCCGCTGGAGTCATGAAATAATGAGTTATGATTGTATAGTCTTCTATAAAGAGGGAGCAAGTAAGCATGTATCAGATCTCTTATCAAGGCAGATTAGTCCAATAACATCTGTAGATCTGACCACCTTAGATCCTAAGGCATTTCGTGCATTGCAGGTTGAAGACTGTCTTTACAAAGAAATTATAGATTTTCTTGAAGGTCGATCATTCCCTAAGCGGAAATTACCTGCAAGATTGGACGAGTTTGACTTGATAGATGGAGTTCTATATCACGTCAAAGAAAAGGCTTCTGGTTTGGTAAGTCAGTTATGTATTCCTTTGAAATGCAGATTACATGCCCTGGACATTGCTCATAATAGTAAGATTGCTGGTCATCCTGGGACCTATCGTACATATAGAAAACTCCAGGAGTTGTATTATTTTCCTTGTGCACTTAGTCATACTAGAAATTATGTAAGTAAGTGTCTGACCTGTAAAAAGCGTAAAGCTCAACAAAGGCATAGAGCGACATTAGCAGATGCTCCACTCGCATTAAGCATCCTCGAGCGAGTCAGCATGGATCTCGTTGAATTGCCTAAGTCGGACAATGATTTCAAGTATGTCTTAGTCATTGTAGATCAGTTATCACGTTTTACTCAGCTTGTACCTCTTAAAGATAAACAAGCCGTAACTTTTACAAATACTTTGATTAATGATTTCATTACAATCTTTGGTCCACCACAAGCTTTCATTTGTGATAATGGCACTGAATTTTCTAATTCTCTTCTCAGAGCTGTTTGTAAGCTGCTGGAAACTAAGATAAACTTTACAACCCCTTATCATCCAGAAAGTAATGGGTTATGTGAAAGGACTAACAGAATAGTTAAAGATACTTTATATGCACTAACTGAGAAGAATCTTCGTCTATGGGACACGATGATACCTCATGTTAGGTTTGCTATCAACTCTTCAGTTAACAGGTCGGTAAATAACCAACCCTTATATTTGATGCTTGAACAATCTATACATTATCCAGTTGGATTAACAAACAAATTAACTGTAAATAAACCTGCTAATGAAAGATTTGCAAAGTCAATTCATGCACGTGATGCAGCTGTACTTGCAAGTAAACAATGTAGAAAATATAACAAAGATTACGTTGCAAGGAAGTCTATACCTGCTACTGATTTGGATGTTGGTAGTCTAATCTTAAGAAAAAGTCCTTCTCAGAAAGCCACTGGTCTGACGGCACGCTGGACAGGTCCCTTAAGGATCACAAAGCGCACTGGACCTGTGACTTATCTGGTGAAAGACTTGGTAAAGAACAGTGTTTATCGACTTCATCGTAATGATATGCTGTCCTACGAGGCACAAGACGAACTGGAGATAGTGAGTCCAGATGGTGTTCTTGCAGAACACTTTCCTGATGATCCGTTAAGTGTTATGATGTTATCTCTTGTGAGAAGATTTACTGGGTAATTTGTCCTTAAGTTTAATGTATTACATTGTAATGTTAAATATTCTTTAGGTGATTGGGTATATTGTTTGTATAATGTTAGAGAATCTTTATTAAATAAATCAACATTCCAGTGCTTGCATAGAACAGGTCTCTTATTTTTGTCCACATGAAAGCTCATGCCAACTCCCCAACAGATATCTGCATGGTCTGTTCCTGCCGCTGTCCTGATGAATTGTTCTGATCAATGAAACCAAGTGGATCTGATGCTGTTTGCTGCTGTCATCCCAGTGGATTGAATGTCATGACTTCTTGCAGCCCTGTTCCAGCCTTCGACCACCTTGTGGAGTCCCACGGCTTAGAATCCTGCCTTATCTCTGCCCTGATCTGTTCCTGCTTTCTCTCGTACACTGCCAAGATGCAAGCTCGCACGCTGATAATGGACCTCGGAACCTGAGTACCTGCAACCCTATGACCCACTGAATGTGACGCCCAAAGGATTTCGCACCAGATTCCAGCCTCATTTTGGTGAAAGGGTGTCGGCTTCCGCCTTGAGCCGATAGTCAGTCGAGGGTTCCCAAGTCACCCTCTCCTTTTCCGGGATCGGGAGGGATGTAGTGAGGCAGCCATACGTCTTTTTCCACGGGACTTTCAACCCTATTTTCGCCTTAACCTGCGTCGCATCTTAAAGGAGCTACAAACCAGCAACAACCTTCGTCTTGGAAGACCATCGGCCGAGACTTCTACCTCCCGCGCTAAATTTACGTTTGGCTGAGAGCTCGTGACCTGTACACACCATTCATAAGTATCTGGCTGTTGTTGTTTCTTATTTTTATTACTGATGCTCTTTTTTTTTCGTTTATATCATTTTGTTTAATTTAATAAATGTGTATTTTTTCTGTCCATTGAGTATCTATTCAATTCTTACACGCTACCTAAATTATAAGAATTGCTCGGCTTGAGGGCTGTGTAAAAGCTAACGCTTACATTGGTAGGCAGCTCGGGATATTTATGTACAATTCTATTTTGCAAATTATGTTGTGTATAACCGAAACCAGCCTTTGCGTTTATTAATGTTTATTTCAGATGTTTTTTCTGTGCTTTTCACATGTTAGGAAACGGATTTTAAGGAATTAAGATTTGCTTACTGCAAGTTTAGTCTGTTGATGAATTAATGTTTTTTCTTCGGATAATATAAATATCGTAGTAACGTAATATAAGGTGCATAAACCATTTTTGTGTATTATAAGTACGTAATCTTGATTTCTTGATCTTCGCTCTTTTGTACTTCATATTGCGGGTAATTTCATTTTATTCATATTCATCAGTCGCTACAGATGTCCTTAGCTGTATCGGTGTTTAAGCCCAGGGAATAATTGATTGTATACGTGATTTTATTTTGGAATGGATGTCTGGCCAGGAAGTGAGCTTTACTCAGCCCGGTAAATGTACATAGGACTGATCTATTTTTTTCTTTTCTCCAAATTCTCAGTGTACGCTATACCGCTGCCCTCACGAGTTTATACATTTTGTTTATTCTAATGACAGATCGTATTTCAGCCTGTCCTATATTTGTTGATGCTGATGCTTGCAGTTTTGCCTGTTCTTTGTGTTCGTGACATACAGCGAAGATTGTAAGAATTTGTCGCTGTGTGTAAGATAAACCATACCAACACTGAACACTGGTGAGTAAAGATTTATGATCATTATTTTTTGTAACAAATTTATATATATCGAGTAATTACCACAAATTACCAGTATTAATTTTTGGTTTGATTCTCTTTTAGAAAAGCACAGACGTGTTAGGCAAAGTATTAGGTATATTGTTAATTATTGAAGACTCCTTGGAATTGTGTAACTCAAAATGTTAAATGAATGTATTTTTTCTGATCTAACTTCCCCAAATCCACATTTAATAGCAGACCATGAGCAAGCTTATGCTCTTCCTCGTGGATTAAGAGATCCTTCAGTTCGGCCAAAATCTAAAGCACCAGCTAATGCTGTTGGTCCATTAACTCCTCCCAATGATAACGAAGGAAATGTGAATCGGCCTCAAGGAAATATTCCTTCTACAGTACTTGCGAGTGTACTAAGTCAACAGAATAAAATGATCAAGGATAATTTTGTTCTCTCATCTAAACTAGATAAGATTGAAAGCATGTATGCAACACTTAGCAGCCATCTAGTGGTTTTGTTACAAGGTATGAAGATTCAGACCTCTAGTAATGAACAATTGTCCGTGCCAGTTTCTTGCAATGATAGTGCAGCACGTGCAAATGCTAAGGTCTATGACGATAGGCCTATACTTACACCATTATCTAAACCAGTCTTCGAACCAGAAACCCCAGTTAACCATAAACCTATACCAACACCTTGTACCCAGTTTCCTCAATCCTCGTGTCCTAATCCTTCCTCTGTGAAACCGACCCCTCTTGCAGCACCAAGGTCTAGTGTAACTTCCGGTATTAATGCGTATAATAATGGTAGTAACGTGATGCCGGTAAGTTTTAAAATTGCCAAGCAACAAATACCAATATTTGAAGTAAAATGTTCACTCAATGATCCCATGAAACGACAGGATGACTTTGAACAATGGATTCGTAAGATTGAAATTGTCATTCCAGAGGGACATGATGAAACCAGGATTAAAGTTGCAAAAATACATTGTCAAGGTCATGCTGAAACTATTGTTAATAGTGGTCAGTTTGCACAATTTACTACTTGGAATGAACTTAGACTGGCTTTAAGGGACAAATTTGATAGTTCAGGGGATTTCTTTAGAAGGATAGAATCCATTAGACTTAAGCAAGGACAGGCACCTAAAGAACTTGAAGCAGCAGTTATTTTGGGTGCAAGGGATTTTCCTAATGGAATTGGGGATGTAACACTAACTGTGAAAAGACTTTTGCTTCAAGATTTACCAGAACGATTACGAGTCTTGGTTGTTTCAGGTGAAGATGGTCCTTTGACACAACTCGTCACGAATACAGAACGTATCTGGCACTATCAGAATAATGCATTTTATTTGAGGGAAAGAAGACTATTCTCGGGTGTGTCGTCTGTCAGTTCGAGTCTAGCAACTGCTAATAGTGAGCCGTACTGCGCTTTCCACCGCTCCAAAGGACACCTCACAAAAGATTGCAGAGGTAAGCCTCTCTCTAATGTTTGTTGGCTATATTTACAGCCAGGTCATCTAAGATCTCGATGTCCTGGATTACAGCAGCCGCATAAAAAGGAACAATCTACATGTGTTCAGAATGCTGTGCCCTTTCAGAAAGGCCAGCAGTGTTAAAACTCCCTGTAATCTGTTGGCTAAATGCAAAAGGGAGATGGATTTATGTTTGGTGTCTGATAAGAATTTAGTGGGTCGACCTTTGATAAAAGTTTGTATCAATGGTCAGGAATTGCTTGCATTCATTGACACTGGATCTTCTGCATCCTTGTTGAAGGTCTCGGCATTGAAGTCTCTAAGCATTATTTCACGTTCCAAAGGAGCCAGGTCGCTTATTAGTGCTTCTGGTGACTTTCTTGATGTTTTGGAAGAAAGGGATTTTGAGATTTCTTTTGCCCCAGGACTTAGCCTGACACAGATTAGTTGTAGTTGATGAAAGTTGTGATTTTCCGGGTTCCTTATTAATTGGCGTTGATGTACTGCGTAGATTTGAATTCAGCTTGGTTCATTCACATCAGCCAGGACAGACTTATCTTTCAATTGATTCAATTAGAGTGCCTGTAACCTATACAGATCATCCAGGAATTTCTAAAGTGTCCTTTTGCAAGGCAACAGTAAGAGATTGTGATCTTGATGTTCATGTTCAGTAAATCGTGGTATTCCTGATGGGGATGTATACATAGAGGGTCACTTGCATGATCTATCGATTCCTCATTCAGTTGCAAGTGTACAGAATAGGAAAGTTTATGTATGCACAGTTAATACTTTACCTCACAGAATTAAGCTCAAAAATGGAAAGCTACTAGCAAAAGTGGAAGAAGTTTCTAACACTGACCCAAGTAAAATAGCAATGATAGGTAGTGCATCTTCATGTAATTCTGAGGTAGTAACTGAAGCAAATCTTCCAGATTTAGAACATTTAATAAAAGAGCAAAGGAGTAAGGTCTTGCCTATTCTACAGAAGCACAAGGGTTTATTTGATGGTGATAAAATGACTATTGGTAAAGCCAAGGGTATTGTGCATTGCATACCTACGGGTGATGCAGCGCCTATTTGTTCTAAACAGTGGCGTCTTCTACAGTCAGCCAAAGACTTTATTAAGTCTGAGTGTCAGTCAATACTTAAAGCAGGAGTAATTGAACCATCAATGAGTCCATGGCTTAGCAATGTGGTTCTAGTAGTAAAAAAAAAAGGGTCTCATCGTTTCTGTGTTGACTACAGGCAGTTGAATAATGTTACCCTAGGAGATACATATCCACTTCCCAGGATAGAAGAAACTATTGACAGTCTCGGAGAAGCACGTTTCTTTTCTACCCTAGACTCTAGAGCAGCATACTGGATTATAGAGGTTAATGAGGCAGATCACCCTAAAACGGCATTTTCAGATGGACAGAACGTTTTTCAATGGATTCAAATGCCATTTGGTTTAAAGTCCGCTCCAAGCAGGTTTTAAATTAAACATGGCAAAATGTGAGATTGCTTGCCCAGAACTTAAATTCTTAGGATTCCTCATTTCTGCTGCAGGTGTACAGCCTGACCCTGGTAAGGCCATATGTGACCTTCCTACACCCACCAACTCACAGCAGGTAAGAAGGATTATGGGTGCTGCTGGATATTTCCGCAGGCATATCAAAGATCACTCTAAAATAACTGCTCCACTTTCTGATTTAACTAAGAAGAATGCCAAGTTTGTATGGAAGCCAGAACATGAAAGGGCTTTAGTTAGTTTAAACGTCCTAATTTTGACTTGCTGTTCGAAATCCACACAGATGCAAGTCAGCGAGCCACTGGTGCTTGTTTGATCCAAAAGCATGATGGACAGCCTCACCCAGTTTCTTCTTACAGTCGCAAACTTAGAGGTGCAGAGTTTCGTTATTCAGCGACTGAGTTGGAGGCTTTAGCTGTTGTTGAAGCTATTAAAGCATTTCATCCATATGTATATGGCCATAAATTTCATGTCTATACGGATCATAAGCCATTAATCTATATTTTTAAACGTCCAACTAAATCAGCTAGAATGACCCGCTGGAGTCATGAAATAATGAGTTATGATTGTATAGTCTTCTATAAAGAGGGAGCAAGTAAGCATGTATCAGATCTCTTATCAAGGCAGATTAGTCCAATAACATCTGTAGATCTGACCACCTTAGATCCTAAGGCATTTCGTGCATTGCAGGTTGAAGACTGTCTTTACAAAGAAATTATAGATTTTCTTGAAGGTCGATCATTCCCTAAGCGGAAATTACCTGCAAGATTGGACGAGTTTGACTTGATAGATGGAGTTCTATATCACGTCAAAGAAAAGGCTTCTGGTTTGGTAAGTCAGTTATGTATTCCTTTGAAATGCAGATTACATGCCCTGGACATTGCTCATAATAGTAAGATTGCTGGTCATCCTGGGACCTATCGTACATATAGAAAACTCCAGGAGTTGTATTATTTTCCTTGTGCACTTAGTCATACTAGAAATTATGTAAGTAAGTGTCTGACCTGTAAAAAGCGTAAAGCTCAACAAAGGCATAGAGCGACATTAGCAGATGCTCCACTCGCATTAAGCATCCTCGAGCGAGTCAGCATGGATCTCGTTGAATTGCCTAAGTCGGACAATGATTTCAAGTATGTCTTAGTCATTGTAGATCAGTTATCACGTTTTACTCAGCTTGTACCTCTTAAAGATAAACAAGCCGTAACTTTTACAAATACTTTGATTAATGATTTCATTACAATCTTTGGTCCACCACAAGCTTTCATTTGTGATAATGGCACTGAATTTTCTAATTCTCTTCTCAGAGCTGTTTGTAAGCTGCTGGAAACTAAGATAAACTTTACAACCCCTTATCATCCAGAAAGTAATGGGTTATGTGAAAGGACTAACAGAATAGTTAAAGATACTTTATATGCACTAACTGAGAAGAATCTTCGTCTATGGGACACGATGATACCTCATGTTAGGTTTGCTATCAACTCTTCAGTTAACAGGTCGGTAAATAACCAACCCTTATATTTGATGCTTGAACAATCTATACATTATCCAGTTGGATTAACAAACAAATTAACTGTAAATAAACCTGCTAATGAAAGATTTGCAAAGTCAATTCATGCACGTGATGCAGCTGTACTTGCAAGTAAACAATGTAGAAAATATAACAAAGATTACGTTGCAAGGAAGTCTATACCTGCTACTGATTTGGATGTTGGTAGTCTAATCTTAAGAAAAAGTCCTTCTCAGAAAGCCACTGGTCTGACGGCACGCTGGACAGGTCCCTTAAGGATCACAAAGCGCACTGGACCTGTGACTTATCTGGTGAAAGACTTGGTAAAGAACAGTGTTTATCGACTTCATCGTAATGATATGCTGTCCTACGAGGCACAAGACGAACTGGAGATAGTGAGTCCAGATGGTGTTCTTGCAGAACACTTTCCTGATGATCCGTTAAGTGTTATGATGTTATCTCTTGTGAGAAGATTTACTGGGTAATTTGTCCTTAAGTTTAATGTATTACATTGTAATGTTAAATATTCTTTAGGTGATTGGGTATATTGTTTGTATAATGTTAGAGAATCTTTATTAAATAAATCAACATTCCAGTGCTTGCATAGAACAGGTCTCTTATTTTTGTCCACATGAAAGCTCATGCCAACTCCCCAACAGATATCTGCATGGTCTGTTCCTGCCGCTGTCCTGATGAATTGTTCTGATCAATGAAACCAAGTGGATCTGATGCTGTTTGCTGCTGTCATCCCAGTGGATTGAATGTCATGACTTCTTGCAGCCCTGTTCCAGCCTTCGACCACCTTGTGGAGTCCCACGGCTTAGAATCCTGCCTTATCTCTGCCCTGATCTGTTCCTGCTTTCTCTCGTACACTGCCAAGATGCAAGCTCGCACGCTGATAATGGACCTCGGAACCTGAGTACCTGCAACCCTATGACCCACTGAATGTGACGCCCAAAGGATTTCGCACCAGATTCCAGCCTCATTTTGGTGAAAGGGTGTCGGCTTCCGCCTTGAGCCGATAGTCGAGGGTTCCCAAGTCACCCTCTCCTTTTCCGGGATCGGGAGGGATGTAGTGAGGCAGCCATACGTCTTTTTCCACGGGACTTTCAACCCTATTTTCGCCTTAACCTGCGTCGCATCTTAAAGGAGCTACAAACCAGCAGAGTAATTGCTGAGCTTCTCGGGTTGTTGGCTGAGAGCTCGTGACCTGTACACACCATTCATAAGTATCTGGCTGTTGTTGTTTCTTATTTTTATTACTGATGCTCGTTTTTTTTCGTTTATATCATTTTGTTTAATTTAATAAATGTGTATTTTTTCTGTCCATTGAGTATTTATTCAATTCTTACATGCTACCTAAATTATAAGAATTGCTCGGCTTGAGGGCTGTGTAAAAGCCAACGCTTACAGGGGGACCCACCTATAAGGCTAAACTGCCATTTTGTCGGAAAATTTCTGCAAAATAACGATGGTTTTCTGTTTCGTTTAGTTTTAGTGGCCTTATTTTCAAAATAATAAAAAAATGAGAATTAATGTCAATTTTTCGTCGGGATATCTTAATTTCTCTCTTAATTTCTATATTATATGCCGATAAAAAGGAAACATGTCTACTTTTTCGCACAGATGAATGGCCTCAGTGTGCTAAGAAAAGTTTTCTGTTTTTTAAATCCCCTTCTTAAAGTATCTATGTTACATTAATATTTAATAACTTTTTACCAATATCTTTTTCGCAAAATTAATAATTTCCAATTTCTATGCTCATTGCCCAAAATTGCCCGAATTCAATCAGCATTTACCCGACTGGGGGGGCTGCAGCCCCCCCAGTCCCCCTGGCTCCTACGCCTATGCCCGTACAGTCATTAATTGAATAGCTGCAGGCAAATAAAAAGAAACATATTGTAAGGGACGGGTGATATGGATTTAAGAACAACTTGTAACCGACGATGATACATAACTAAAAAAGGAAAGCCATTGTTCATATATAAACATTTTACTTTTAGATATTTTCTAGCTTCATTCCTATTTGTGAGATATAAATGTATCGGCGTGACATCATTTTCTTTCCCTCTCTTTATTTGTGGCAAATGTTATTTATTCATTTTTATCTTTATTTTTCATTATGGAGGGAGTTATGGAGCCGTTTACCACTATTTTGTTTCATATATATCATCTTACTCAACGTTTTCTTTGAGCTGAAGTCACTAACAACAATGCCTTTACATATCACAAACAGAACAGAGTAAAAAGCTGAGATGAAGTGGGGGAATTTTTAGGTGGAGTCTACCTTAACCCCTTGGTGCCTGGTATGACGTGTACGTACGTGCTATGCCCACTGTGAGTACTTGTTAGATTGTTTTTACGCATAGATGGCAACACTTGTACTAAATCACCAATGAGCCACTTAGGAGCACCGCCCGTCTCGCCCGTTTACCCGTTTCTTTGATTTGCAAAATATTTTACGTAATCTTATTTTGCTGTTACTAATGTTAAAATTTTTTTTAAAAATTATAATGTTTATGATAAAAATAACACCATCGATTTTCATAGAACTAGTGAAAAATACGTTTTTCCCGCCATTTAAATCAGGCGCTAGCAGAGCCATCTATCGGCAGACATTTCACGAAAAACATAGAAAGTGGGCAAAATATTTTCCCCATTTTTTGTTCATTTTCCCCGGCACCATTGGGTTAAATAGAGATTCTTCATAACATGAGTATAGCCTCCGGGCAAGTACAGTGGTAACGGCCTCTCTCATCCGAGGGGTCGGCGGTTCGCGCCCCGCCCAGGCGCGAGAAATTGCTACGGTCGCTTGGAGGTTACTGCTGTGGCTGGGCACCACGGTGGGTAAGGACTAAGCTCCTCCGAGTCAGCACCTGCTGACACACTGTTAGCGAGTCGACATTACTCGGCACAGGTCGGGCTCCCTTCATAGCTCGGGCGAGGCTCAGCTTCGCATATCGGACTTATCCTTAACGTGAGTATTTCCTGTATACACGTCTGACGCAATGTAGGCCTCTATCAAATTTGAAAGAGCTTATCGTCTGTGGGTGTGGGCTGCTAAGAACTGTTCTCTCCTTGTACATCACTGAGTTAATCAGTTAAAGAACTTATCTTCTACCATTGTACGTCATTGCTTAGAGCATTGTACAAAAGAATAGAAAGAACATTCGTCGAAAGTGTTTATTTTTCTATAACCTTACCTCTAAGCATTACCAATGCTACAGTGATACGCTGTACGTTATTGGATAGATTATTTCTAGTGCTCAAACGGTTTTCATTACTCAGTGCAGAATATTTTTGTTTCAAAATCTATATGTTACTGAGTGAAAATAACTTTATCCTTTATTTACATTTATACATTGTTATTAATCTCAGGCTATCGTAACCAATGAATGTTGAATTGTTCCCATTATATTCATGCTTCCAAACAATTTGATTTCTATTTTCTTTAGGTCTATTTTTGGTAACCGCGAAAAGAAAAATTTGCAACTATGACACTTGAATTTTGTCTCAATCCTTAGATTATTTTCGCATCAATGACTATTTCTACTTCGCCCCATTTTTTCGTTTTATTCCACGTGAAGAGAACAACAACAACAACAACAAAAAAAATTGTTTCAGAGAGAGAAATGCTACCATCAGTTATCATTTATTACGCAACAAATATTTAAGAAATGAATACCAATCACTGAACTTTTGCTAGCACTAACTTTACCGAAAAAAACAATAATCGGCAAGTTTCCCTTAGCACACTATTAGGCAACTTAATATTCTTATATTCTTATCCTGAGGCAAAATAAAATATATTCACATGCATGCTTTAGCGAAATAACACCATGACGTTAGCTACCTGGTTCACGATCTCAAAAAAGGAAGATACTGGGAGATAATTAGAGACGTTTTCTTTTGTGAGACAGAGGCGTTGAGCTGACCGGTCCCTGTTCATGAGAAAGGTAGCCGCTTCCACACATCAAGCTCATGGGTCTTTCAGAGGAAAATGAAGTTTGGTCTCCTGCCTCCCACTCAAAGTTGATACTTGGACATTTGTTGATCGAATGGATAGGCTCACAGGTATA